GTTGGGTGCACGAAACGTAAGTGTAAGGGGAATGTGTTGATGTGTGTGTATATATATATATGTATAAACATACACACGAAGAAAAATATTTTTCCCTTGTAAAATCATGCAATTAAGCATCATGTAAGAGTTAAGTGTTCAATACAGAACACCAGAAATACTGGGAAAAATATCACTAAGGAAAGTATGCCACCTTTAAAACAACATTAGAGAGGTCAAGTTAACTTTTATCCACTGAATTAAGTTCAAATGTTTGGACATGAGCCACATAATAATGACTATATAGACAAAACATTTATAACAGATATTATTTAAGAATGATGTTCCTATAAGACATATTTAGTACCTATCAAATTAAACTACTTGCAAAAGAATAGCAACTTCGATAAATCTAACTGAAGCAATATCGTGAAAAGTATTGTAAATTCATTCACAATACTCAAAAATGAGATACAGCTGCCATCTATAAAACACAAAGTTACATTTACTATAACAGTTTCTTTTCATATATATCCCATCACTAGTTGTTTTTTTCTCGAAATTATTAGTTTAAATCATAATTCTACAGCAAGTTTTGGAAATTAAATGCACTTTATACAGAAAATACAGAGTAATTATCAAAATATGAAAGAATTTCGTTTTCAAGTTCTACTGGAAGCGTCATCTTTGTCTTGCCAAAGCATTTTTTCTAAATAAGAAATTTAGCTTCAGTTAACTTCCTATTTGTAGTTACTACGTATGTATCCAACTTCCCAAGACAGCAATAATTACGATGTATACACAACTTCTTTCAGTATGAAGTGTGGACGGCCTAATAATTGCCACGATATTCGAATTTCCTGTTCTTTTGTACACAGCCTACTTCAAAGTAAATAGTCACCTCCGGGAATACAAATCGACAATCTCCAAGACATCATGTGTAAATAACCACGATGACTTCAAAACAGATTATCTCGATGAAGTTTGTTCGTTTCGGCTCTTCATTCAAAACTACAAAAAAGCTATCTGTGACAGCTATCCTCAATTTTGAATTGATATACTATATAGAGGTAAGACTAGTGAAGTAAGCTAGTAAAAACCACCGCCAACTCTTGGGCTATGATAATCGAAAAGTGAGATTTGACCGTCCAAATAATAAGTGGTTAAAATATAAACAGGTAAATTAAAAGCACACAAAAACCAGGTTTATTTCAATAACCAAGATTTACAGGTAATTCCTGCATTCACACAAAAAATCTCACCAATTTTTTGTAATTGTTTCAAATACATGTGCTTAGGATGTGTAATAATTAAAGGATTAGAATTAGCAGTCTGAAATTATATTGTTTCTTTATTCTTATTAAGCTCTAATTTCTTACTAATAGACTTGTGAGTCAACTTTATTGCATTTCACATTTGTCTCATTTATGGCTATTAAAGCTCCACAAATTAAAATTCAGAATGAATCCACATGTTTTACATGAAAAAGCCACATGTTCAAATAATATTTATAAAAAAAAATTATAAAAAAACAACAGGAACTTAAACAGTAATCACAGATAACTTACATTAATTAAGCAAATGATATTTTTTCTTTCCCATGGTTAAAAAGCTTTTTCATTACATACCATGTTTTAAAATTTTATTACAAAAATTTCCAAAAAAAAACAACCTATATTAGCTAACACTGTAAGGCATTACATTAAGTCATAATAAGAAAATTAAATAATACACAAAGTATAGAAATTAATCAAAACTAAAAAGACTAATATCAGAATTAACCCAAACCATGCTTAGAAAAATGTGCCTATGATGAACATCCAAAAAGGTGGAAGGTATGCATAAATGTACAAAAAAAAAAAAGGTAGCATAGTATATAGAACATTTGAAAGTAGAAAATAGGATAAATTATCAAAGGACATCACTTTTATGTATTTGGTGTGAATTAAATATTTTTTATCTCTCCTTATCCATTTAATGGCACATATGCATCAACAGAAATACTTTTGTTTGTTATTCACAAGGCCATATGATGGACTTATCTGTTCTGTGCCCACCTTGGATACCTAAACACTATTTTTAGCATTAGGAGTTCTTAAACTTACCACCAAGCCACCAGGAGCAAACAGAAATTAAAAGTTTTTCTGTAACATAATTCAAAATGATGTATATTGTATTTCATAAAAATGATATTTGCTGTAATGGAATTTTTTTATGACAGAGTATCTGTTTAACATTACATTTTAAAATAACATAAATGAATCTTTACTGAACTATTTCTTCAAAACTCAAGGTAAAATTCCTGAACTTCACAAAACTATTTTCACTCAGTTTTCAAAAAATGAGATTTTGCTTTTGATTATTATTATCATTATTAATGATTTACATTTATCTTTCAGGCACTCAAAATTTGATACTTTAAAACTACATGCATGTCATTTTTACTTATCTTTTACTCACCACATTGATATAGGATTTGAAGAATACATAACATTCATGCTACTAATTTATGGGTCTGATGGTTAGGGCACTTGACCAAAGCTCTCTACAGTCAAATCTTGCACTCACTTGACAAGGGGTGCATCAAAAGAGGCCCAAGTTTTGACAAAGTTGACTATTAATGGATTCCATACAACAGGAAAGGTCAGAGCCACTGATAGAAAGTTGTATATTTGCACTCTTGATCTTATTACGTGGAAGAGTTACATTTTTATAGCAGAATTTATCAAAAGATTTTTAAAATTAATTGTGTACTATTTTAAATAACTAAACTAGATTTGAGTATAGTTCTGGTAAACAGAAGTTATCCTAATTTCATTATAAACTTTCCACAAAACTTAGTTAGGCCCGAGTTTAAGAAGAATAAAATGCCAAGGAAGTGGTGTGTTCCACAATGTAGAAGCAATTATAGGGGTACATCACATGTGTAGTTTTCCAAAAGATGAAGGAAACAACTGTGGCTACGAAAAATTCCAAGAAAGGATTTCATACCAATGATTAATAATGTGGTTATGAAAATCACTTTATTTGCAGTGATATACTTCCAACAGAAAATGGAAACACTTGTGTTCAAAGAAATAAGATGAAATTAACTGATGATGCTTATCCAACTTTGTTTACTAATTTACCTTATCTTACTACTAACTACCAGTTGCAAGAAGTGATCCTGATAAAAAAGCTGGTGATATAGAAGAAAAAGTTTCAAGATGATCCGAGATTTATACTTGAAAACAATTCAGTTTTAGACTTTGATGACATTTTGAAGATTGTGTCTTACAAAAATAACGTGTCTAGTTAATTCTCTTGTATTATTTTTAAATAACAATGTAGGACCACCTGAACTTCGAAGATTTTTAATGATAACTATTAATGTACAATATATTACATACATCCATAACTTAAAGCTTCCCAGAAATAAACTGGCACAATGTGGATGTACGATAAATGAAATAAAAGCATGGCATGAAGTACATCATTTACATTTCACAGCAAGTTAAACTAAAGTAATTGGTATCATTAATGAATCTTCAGATTAACATTACTCAGATAAAATTAATATAATTTTTATTGCAGCAAATTTGAGTATATTAAATTTATCCTCAAATAGATATAGATAAAACTTTTACACTACACTCTTTGCATATATATACTTTTTATACAGTCTCCTGCAGCATACAAGTCCTGGATGCTAGTGAGTTCTTCTGGCAATGATGAAGTGTACATGCTTTATTTAAAGCAGAAGATGACTATGATAAATGAGAAAGAAAGAATAGTAAATGTTCTTCTTGATGAGATACATATTTAATGAACTTCTGAATATAAATGTAGTCAGCTTATTGGTACTTTTGGGAAAGACAACGATAAATTGACTGATTCAGTATGCATTGTTATGTTGGAATCTGTATTTTCAGATCATAAGAATGTAGTATATTTTATCTTGTTAAATATCTGACAGCAGAAGAACTACATGAACATATGAAATTTTGTATCATTAAAATTTAAGATGTTGGATATAAACTAATTTCTATTTTTATACATAACAATATAAACAATCAAGATATTTTATTCCTTGTTTCTAACTACTACTACATTTTTAAAGATATTGGCTTGTAACCCAAGGGGGTTGAAAAGGCCACTTTTTCCAGTATTTGACTTGGCCCATATTTTGAAGTGCGTATACAATAACTGGATTTCACAAGTGAATCAATATACATTTCCTGGTGATGAAAATATCAGAAATGTACCTGCTAATTATCAGAATCTTGTAAATACCTACAAAGTTGAACAAAATACAATTATTAAATATGTACATAAATTGTCACAAAATGTTTTGTTTCCATCAAACATTCAAAAGCAGAATGTAAGTTTTGCTGTAAAATTGTTTGACAGAACAAACATGTATGCTTTGAAAGTGCTTGAACTACAGTATCCTGATTTATTTACTGGATGGGAAAATACTGCATTGTTTCTTAAAGCAATTATAGACTGGTAGAAAATTGTGAATGTAAAGTCACACAACAAAGGGTTGACAAAGAGGAACCAGAATATGTTTCCCGTGTTTTCTGTTAATGATTCTCAGGTTGAGTTTCTCAGAAAGTTTCTTTCTTGGCAGACAGTAGCTGTTAGTAAATATAAACTAGGTCTAAGTAGAGAAACATTTGAGGCTATTATTCATACTACAAAAAACCTATATTATCAACTGTGTACTAACAGAACTACATAGGAAGTGTGTCTTATTTGGTAAATTTAAGACAAGTACGTTAAAAACTTGATTTGGTCAATACAGACAACTTAGTGGTAGTAACTACAATATATCACTACAACAGATTTTTAAATTTAAAAACAAAACGCTTAAAGTAAAATCTCCTACAGCTGAGATCTTCCAAATATAGTAACATATCTTTGCATGATTTATGTGTATTGTTCTCAAACAATGTTTATTGTGCTACTGAGTTCACTGCTATTGATGCTAAACTTGTTCAAGAGAGTACTAATACAAATGTTGACTTTTCCTTCAATCAAGACATAATGAACATCATAATATACATTGTTGGATATGTCTGCTTCAAACTGAAACTGGTATGTAACACATGTATTTGTGTGCTTGTCACAGACAAAACACAACTGTTTAGAACAGCTGGGGTTGCAAACTAATTGTAATGTGTGACCGTGGTGATCTCACATATTCTATTGAAATTGTGATAAAAACAGGGGCATTTTGCTGTGCTGTATTTCAGAAACTTATAACTGACAAGTTGGAAAAACAGTTTTTGAGTGTCAAAATTCAACTGTTTTAACATTACAATTGGTTTTATACAGAGAGACTTTTGTTTAAGCAGAGACCTACACTGTGAATCATGTGAATATACAACGGAATTACTTAAAAAAATGGAAAAAGTATTGGGTAATGCATATATAAACAATTATTCAAAATCCAAAGTAGACAAATTACTAAATTATCAGTCAAAATTAAGTACTTATTAGCAAGTGCAAAACTATAAATTACACTTAGAGAATCATAATTTTTACAAATGAAGTATTTCCACTTAGTGGTAGCTTTTCTTTACAGCTAATTCAATTGTCCAGCTGGAATTTATAAACTTAGAAATCTGTGTAGTTGTGTATCATATTATTTCACAGGTTTGCAATAATTAAAATGGTATTTCTAAATACAATTTTTTTACAAATATGGATTATTTTATTTCATTCAGAATGTTTTCAAATAGTTTTATAATACAAAAAGTGTATTTGTCACTGAACTGCTTCTGTGTTATCTGTTATATTTAGAAATCATACTAAAAAAGCAAAGAATTTTAATATGCGACAGTTATTTTGTTCTATGGTTGAATGTATAGATAATTATAATATATACTTTAAAAGATAATTTAGTAGTATATACATTTTCAAACAGTTCTACATTATTTCATCTTGGGCCTCTTTAGGTGATGTCAAAAGGCTTCAAAGTCACATGGTCTCAAGCTTTGTGTATATAGAGGGTTTTGGCTTTATTTGCAATTTTAACGGTCATCTGAGATGACTAAAAACTTCCTCAGACAACCAACTTAAACCCCTCCTGTTGTCCAATTGTACGACTAGTGTCCTGGAACAGACCCTTACTTGAAACAGCATCGCAGTCTACTGTACACTTATCCATGTTCACATTACACACATAATGTTGACTCCAATACTCAACCAAAATTATCATGAAATTTGCTAACTACAAACTAAGAAAATCTGAACCCTTCACAAAAATATCTTTTGGTCCATTTTTTTGTTTAAAAAAGATTGTACTTTGTACAAGAAATATGTTGGTACAATTCACCAAAAGGGGCTGAAAATGTTAGGAAAAGTTCCCTTTTATGATTGACTGATAATGCTGTTCTTGTCCCTAAACCCTTTGTTGTAGACGAGCTACACTTCTATGCTGCTTTATGCATGTAAATTTTGTATGGAGTTCAACTGAGTATGAATGGCTGTATGTGGTAACATTGTACAATGTATACAGCTCAGTTATTTACATTACCACACATTGTACTGCATGATGTTTGTATGCATATATAGTGGAGGTAAGAATTCGCAACTAAAATGAACACTGATAACACGAATATTTAGTGAGATTAATTTCTAGCATGGATGCTTACGACAATAAAAAACTAACAAGGCTGTCTCAACTTCTTACAGATAAGCCATCAGTAGAAACTAAAACGATCAAATTTATAAAATCAAACTCAAAATTTTTATCGTTAATCGTCACAATTGAAACACTGACATCCTTTCAATTATGCATGTATAGGCCTAAGACTAACATTAGACATATACGTTAGCAATGGAGTCTAGGAAATATGGAAGGCCTAGCTACCATGAGAAAAGCATGAAAATCCATGAATCAAACAGAGCATAATAATGAGAACTGCAAACAAAATTTTATGAAAGTTTGATCAGTACAAAACAGAATAACAATAAATAAAATAAGGCTAACTTTGCCTCTCTCCAGGGCAATACAAACTACAAGTATGGATGACAATACATATCAGCTGTGTGCGTGTGTGTACATATGCAGCACCCAAGCATTGTGTACGTATAATGTTATAGCAGTATGTTTTAGAGTTCCAATGCAAATCTAGTCTTACTACAGGCTTTACTTTAATGTAGTTGGTGGCAGGTCAAGCTGGTTAGAATGAAAACACTGAACGTGATTGGCCAAGATCGCTGTTCTGTCTAAAAGTTTTACAGGTCATTGAATGTTTATTTCCTTAAGATATTAAGTAATATTAGCCTCATTTGAGTTTATTTTTTTCTAATATAATGCAACTTCTTGAGGGTTTATGTTTTTGTATTCAGACCACCAATAAAGCCTTCCAAACAATGTCTGATACAGGTCAGGTTGTCTGACAAATAATCTGGAAATTTCCTTAAAATCGAGTCTAGCGAGGGATTGAAACACGTCATCAAACATGCTTGCCCTTTCAGCCATGGTGGTGTTATAATGTCAATCCACTACTTGTTGGTAATGAGTAACCCAAGATTGGTGGTGTTGACTCGTTGTCTTTCCTCTAGTCTATCACTTCAAAATTAGGGACAGCTAGTGCAGATATTCCTCACAATAGCTTTGCATGAAATTCAACAAGACAAAAATGCAAACAAACAATACTAATTTTTTCTTCTGAATCATTCAGCAAACAAGCTATTTAATACACTAAAATTAAATATGAAGCCCAATATATTAACACTGTACATATACACTCCACCACTATGAAAAAGCCTAAACTTGTATCAATTTGCTCTTGTCCAGAAAAACTGATGACGGGTGGAATGTTTCAAAATCAGTATAACTCAGTGAGAAATGAGGAATCAAATGAAAGATTGGGCATCAAATTTACTTTTAGTATTTGAAACAGCTTTCTGTTAAATAATTCAGAAGAATGAATTAGTAGCATGAATGTTAATAATTCTTCAAATTCTTTATAAATAAAGGTTCACTGTGGTGAGTAAAATAAACTCCAACACAAGTCTTATTGTGTCGATTTCCTAAAGATGGTATAATTCAAAGACAAGTGGGGAATTCAATGACAGATTGGGTTTTATATTTATTTTTAGAACTTTGAACACTAGTTTTAGTGAAATTCCTAACAATTCTATAGTACACCAATTAAAATGATTTATCATGCAATCTGAAAGGTGTACTGAGATTATATTTGTCACTGTTATTATATCTACCAAGAACTATGCAAGTTTAAAGGACAGATTACTATATCCGCAGATATATTTTATTAATCAGGTCATAAATTACACTTGGTATCAGAGAAAACTACCTCAATGACACATTTTTCTAATATTTTGTTTTCATAATTTAAATTAAATGTAAACATGCATGATGACAACCATTTTAAATATTTTGAAAGTAATTATCTTCAATCATGTTATACATGCATAAACATAGTTCTAACCAATCGAACATTGTACTACATTTTATAAAAGAAATTAAAATTTTAATACATTTGACAACAAGTTTCTTTTCTTCATCATTAACCACAAGTATATTAAATATGTATAAATATAAAGACTTAGAATTCTAATTAAAGACTACGGCATGCATGTCCTCACTTAGGTTATCTATAAGCATCTTCTATTACCTAGCGCAACAAACTTAGTGTTATTTTTACCTGTCAAAACCTGTAATAGTCCCATGAATTCATAAACAGATGACAAGTGTCCTAGAGGATCCCAATAAGACTGTTAATAATTGTTATACTTCATATGGGTTTTTCCATTAAGTATAGGAACAACATTTGAATCCCTTTTTGTTAAATCTGTTGCATTACATGCCTACAATTTCATATTCTTTATAGTTTTAAAGAGCATTTTCATAGGGAATTTGAGTACTATGGCTTATCTGACTTGATAAGCTACTGTATGCTGTACAAATCTTATTGAAAATAACCTACAACAACAAAGATTGGGGTTAATATACTGCTACTGCTAATGTAACATATTTCTGGAAAATGACTGTTTCAATAACAAATGAAGTTCCAAAACCATTCTAAACAGTCTTTATATGGCATTCTTAAGGTGGTGTTCTAAAAACCTTACCAGATTTAAAGCTTTGTCACCAATGTCTTTATACATCTAAATTGATATAATAGGTTTAATATGGTAAAGAGATTTCATTAAAAAGTACACATACAGTACAAAACTCATGTTCCTCTAGCAGGTTTGATAAAATGAGATTTCAGAACTCATGTTCCAAGGGATGATTCTGATAACATTATAAGAAGACAACAGAGAAATAAAAAAAAATTATGCTTCTCGAAAATAGAGAGTTAAAAGTCTTGATAAAATACGTTTTATTAAAAAGTGCAAACAAATTTATACCAAAAATGTTTGGGGTATTTTAGAATTAATTATGAAAAGATCTTGGAGAAGTCTGAAATCAAATATAACTAACTACAAGTCTGCACTTTAGCTGTAACAATTTTTACCAAAATTTGAAATTAAACTTAATGTTGACTCAAAACTAATACTATTTATATACAATCAACTGAGAAGATACTAAAGGAAGTGAAAAATGCTGAACTATTTTAATGTGTCTTCTTACCACTTGGCACATTACTAAACTATAGGGACTTAGACAGTAGGCAGCAAAACTATTACATTTAATTACTCAGTAATCTAAACATGACATCACTATTTGCAGGATAATTTAATGTCTCCTTTAGCAATTTCTGGTGAGATAAAAAAGTTTAAAAAGTGTTATTACATTCTTTAAATTAAACCAGTTTCAATGTATACCTAGTTAATGTACTTTCAGCATAAAGCTACAAAATGGGGTACCTGCACTCTGTCCACTGCAGAGAATCGAATCCTGGATTTTACCATTGGAAGTCCATAATTTTACTGTTGATCTACTAAGGGGACACATATGTTAGTAGCCCTGAACTATGCCAAAAATATATTGTGAAGATAGCCAAGTCTTTTAAAAGTTTCCTTTCTCACCTGAAACTGAGGAAGAAGATATCAAATGGCAATGTACATTTTACTGAACTAATATATGTCACATATTATTAAATACCCACAGCCACTCTTTTTACCTTATCTTGAGAAACTTAGTAAGTTTCAAATTACTAACTTAACCTAATAACATTATCACACTTATGGAGATTTTCTTTTTCACATTCCTCTTAATCAATTCTTTATATCTGTCTAATTAAAGTTAAGTAATAATAGCACTTTAGACTAACATTTTGTCTATCACAAATCACAATTCATTTTATCTAATACCAGAACACATCAGCTAGGACAGACTTCAGACAGCCAAAAGCATATCTGAAATACCATTTCTATGCTGGTAAGATATTCAATGCAGTGCTGTAAAACATATGATTTGGTGAAGCATTATGACATTCTGGGCCTAACAAAAATAATAAAATTATTATTATTATTGTTTTGTCTAAATGATACACAACTGTATAAATGACAAGTTCAGAGACCTTTATGGTTCATCTGCAATTGTGCATAGTTTTGAACTGCAGACCACAAGGAAAGTAACCAGTCTGCAGCACCCATTGCCTGAAATATCTACTCTTAATCAAGTAGTGGGATTGGTTCACTCCCATAACACATCCACAGATGAAAATGGAAAGCATACTTAGTAGCAAGTTTTGAATCTGAAATCATTGAAAAACCAATCTGACTCATTAATCCTAGGCCACACTTGGGCAAGTTCGTGTTTAACTACAGATGTTTTTTCTTCACATCCTTCTTAATTAGTTCTTTACAGCTTTCTCTTCAAAGGTGTGTAAAAATCAAATGGGATGAATGTGAAGAAATAAAACATCTGCAAAGAAGTGTGATTTCATCACTTTTGTTAGATCTAACAGGCCTCAATGATTCATCAGTATAGGAATTTTAAACTAATTAATGATATTTTCAATCATCAAGTCATTGCAACTTGTCAAAAAATATTAAAAGTGTTGATCTGTACAACAGTTCTAAGTTCGTAACACATATATACATACAGGAAAAAGTACAAGAAACTTTTACAAACACTTTTTCACACAAGAAAATAAAGCAATCAACAAAGAAATAACATACAGATATATATTTAAAAAATCAGTAATATTATACTTTTAGCAACAAATTGCAGTGATTACTAGTTGTTCCACGATGAAAAGTATTTACGTCATCTTAAACTGGATGATTCAGCTGATGATCAAGTGATGGGTCAAAAGGAGTAAGAACTGAAAATAAAGAAAATATTCATAAAATGACATAAGCAATCATTGTTTGTAAGTGCGGTCACAGATATATATAAAAAATTAAGGAAAATATCCATTAAAAACTTCAGCAATTAAACTCAGTATTTTTCAACTGAAACATCACAGATGGCCTTTGTGATCATAAATAAATAAATACCTTGCTACAGAATATTCACAAAGAGTTGCACAAATATTGATTTAATCTTCATTGGATAATTAAACAAACTATTCTATTTTATTAAGCACATGAATTCATTCCCATGTTTTTTTGTTGGCAAAAACTATTATTAACAAAAGAAATAGATTTATTAATCTACCATCTGTAGAATATATATATTTACTCACAACATTATTTAACAGTTTAGGACAGCATGTTGTAAATGTAAAGCAAATTACTTTTATAAATTAAAAGATCAGTCTTGACGAATGTGAAAGCATGCTTACAGGTGTAATAATTAAAACTGGATTTTCAGTTACACGTAAAAACTTTACAATCACACTAATTCATTGCTATAACTGTTATTTTTATTGTTTTATCATACAAAACAACAATGATTACAAGTGTATCATATGATAAACAATGAAGATCCCCATGGACACAAATCCATCCATCCATATGTACCTCTTTGCCTGTAGCCCAGATTTGCATAAGTAAATAGCACACAATCTATGATAGACAGTAAAACAGAAACTATTTGAAGGACAACTTATGCATGACATGTTTTAGTAACTTTGTTTTGCTTGATATTATTATGAACACATTAGTTCTCTAAAGTTTGAACTTTTACAAATGATATTAAATTATACAAGTTTATTTTCTAAATAATTAATTTTGATATTAAAAAGCATGAAAACTAAAAATGTAATATAAAATAATCTTAAGTTCAGACTAATCTTCAATTGCAAATTTCACTAACAAAATGTTATTTGATTTATTTCTCTTCCATAATTAAAAACAAAAGAATGAGAAAGGAATTTAGGTACGATAAAACAGAGGTTTATCACTTAGTCCAGGAAGCAGAAATAATAACAATGCAATCATGATTAAGTGTTGGACACAAAATTACTTAAAAGCAGCATCCAGCCAGTAAAACTTGCATAATCTGGTGAAGGTTGATCATTTAGCATACAATGGTCAATAACATGTGTTTTTTTCTTCAATACTTTCTTTTGTGATATTTTATTACATATACAGTTGGATATTCCAAACAGAAAAATGATCTTGTGATTATTAAAAAAACTAGTATTTTTGTAGCAATAAATTAGTACATTCAAAAAAGCATCTTAATGTGTATGTGATTTTGCAAATAAAAGAAAAACATTTTAAAGAATGACCTAATGATGAACTGACACAAACAACATCTGTCTAGGATAAGATAGTCTCTATCAGGAGACAATTTTAGTAGTTAAACTTGGAATTCATGAATCAATAACAATTATGTTTTCTTCTTTTTTTTATACCACACATTTCACTTTGAAAGGTATAACTTTAACATTAATGAAAATTAAGCAAAGCATTGACAAAATGGTTATTTAGCATTAATGTCTTAAGTTCACAAAAGTAAAGCAATATACTAAAAAGCTCTACATAGTACAATGATCATTAATATTTTTATTGTTAGACAATTGTTTTGGCAGAGTAGTCTGAGATTCTGAATACTATATGAACTCATATTTATACAATTCTGATGGCTTATGTCATTTGAAAGAAATTAATCACAGATCCACAAAAACTAATAAAAATATATATATTTTTAAAGAATTGACTCTGGAATAGGAAAGAAGTTACTGCATTGATATTTTTTAAAGATTTTGTATGACAGAAGGAGAGATTTAGGAGAGGCAAGCAAGCAAAAATATTCAACATACATGAAGCTATTAGAAGCCGAAGTTGGAGAAGAATGAGATAAGAACTTCTACTAAGGAAGAAGGTGAACATCCGAAGCAACACTTGCTCTCGATTCTACACAGAGAAGATAAATGTACTTGTTTAGATGATTAATATAGCAATGTTGAAAACCTTATAAGTATAAACAAACTGGATGATTCTAAACACACAGTAATGTTTTTAGACACACACACATTTATTGATATTTGTTTGAGTGCTAAAACTATATAATATCTATAAAAATATATAGCTAAAAGGGTTAAGCTGCATACTCATGAAGAATATTAACGTAATGATTTAATCATGTCAAATAAATAAAATACTGAAACAAAAGGGAAATATTAACATATCTCATTAAGAAAACTTCTGCCTCACCACCTTCCCATATAAGAAACAACTGTATTTTTGCACGTTCTTTTCACCCAGTGGTACTTCTTTTAATCAAATAAATTTTTTGGTAATGGCACAAGTTACAGAATAAAATTTGTTAAATTTTGCACAAGGCTACTTGAGGGCTATACGAGCTAATTGTCCCTAATTTTAAGGTGATAGCCTACAGAATAGGCAATACTTGGAGCTTTCAACAGGATATCAGAGATTACTAATATCAACAACAACAGAAGAATTTCAAAACAGGGACATTAGTTAAAAAAACAACAACAACAAACCTCACCTGTTCGTGAGAAAAATAATGAAACTATATATATACTTTGAAACAAAAGAAACAAATGCTAATAACAAGAATAATAAAAAATCAATACACAATAACATACACTGACAGTTACACACAAACACAGATACTTATGTAAAATTGCATATGAACATAAATTAATATACATCCACAAATATTTAATATACACACAGATTCAAATCAAAATATAATCATGCAAGTAGAGATCATATCAATTTAATAATGAATTACAATAATCTACTCTTGTTTTGTGAAATGAAGGTAATACAAAGAGGAGTTTCTAAAGGTTTTGGTTAGCTTTGCAGTAAGTCAAAGTCATTTATTTTAATTGCAATGGTTTCTTTCTATTTGTGTTTGATTCTCAACAAATGATCTTAATATTTGCCCAGTCTACCTGGTGATTATTTTCATGAATCTGATCAGCCAAAGTGGAAATCTCCATGGTATACTTACTTCTGTTTCTGATAATATCATGTGTGCCTTTAAAAAATGTTGTGTAACACTAACAAATATTTGACCACAGAGCTCATGGGATTCTGTACACAAATTTTTTTTTTCCTTCTTTCATTCTTTATTTTCACATTTGTTGATAATTTTTATAGTTTTGTTGCTTATGAATATACTCTGGATATAAAATTGATCCATAATGTATATTTCTCTCCTAAAACAGGAATATACAGACATACCGCTTTTTCTCCTTCTGTAATAAAATTAATATTTCTTCGGTCATTCACTGATAGCATGCATTGAATCACATGCAGTAACTTTTCTGAGAAATACCTTTGGAAAGTAATTCATGCTTAAGTGAAATAAATCCAAAACTCTCTGACTTATAACTGAATTTTATAACTAATGTATAAAACAAACAAGTTTGAAGTTCCTAAACAACATGAATACACATACAGAAAAATATTACTGTACTACTTCTGGTAGTCAAAAATAATCAAAATAAATAATGAAATCAGTTTAATATTGAATATATTTTGAGAATGTTCCAGACCTATGCAATTATCTTCAGGTTGTACCTTCCTTAAATTTCCATAATAAATTCAAATGCTTATGAATGCCTAATTTAAAATGAGAATTAAAAAAATAAAAACAAAAGAACAAATGAAACATATCTAAACACTGGCTTGCTAGCAAACAACATGAAAATTTGTTAGTGTCTAAATACAGGATAAAAATTTCAATATAAATGTATTCAATATTAAAGTAAATAAAATTTCTTCATAGAATATTATAATGGCGATCATGACAGAAGCCCTTTGAAAAATATAGTTGTGTACATGAAATATTTTTTTTTTTGTACACAAAATTTTCCATACTCAGGAAATAAATATCAAAATAAAAAATATCCCTTAATCAGTGATTTAGGCAATATATTCAGGATGAAATAAGGGTTTAAATCTGCTTTTTTTTAGCTTAATCATGAGAAAGTATTGAGTATTTAAGAGACCTTTGTATATTGTATATTTAAGAACTTTATCTTTTTATTAATGATAGTACATGACTGAATAAGAGCAATGTTAAACTACAGTAAATGTTTTAAAAATAAAACTTCTATTTAAATAAACAGAAAACTGACAGAGCTTTTTAACAATAGATATGTTTATATAAACAAGCTTATAGTATCAACAAAATTACAGAACCATAATTTACCCATCATTGCCCTAGCTCAATTTCTAATCTTGTAAATCATGCAGTTGTTATGACATCTTAGTCTCTTATGTGTATTTGTTGCCATATATTATGAACTTAGAGCCAATTTTCTGTGTTAATAGAAATAGAAATAGATAACCGTGACAAGAGAAAGGAATTTCCAGAGTTGGTGACTAATCGGTCATTCTATTGCCCACTTGTTACTGCTATTCAGTTTTCTAACACATTAAGCTTTTTTTTTTAAACATTTTAGCACATTGCATAGTTAAGGTAAAGTTAACGTATTCCTTACCTGAAAATGTACTAATGATAGATACTCTCTGCACACAACAGCTATTTCTTGCAAGTCTGGACTTCAGATTTTGCACATGCCACTAGCCTTGAGCTACTTCCCACCTAAGACACATGTTTTAATGTTAGTATGTGATGTAATCATTATGTGACAATAACTCTCCACCAATAAGAGGGCAACACATCCTCTATGTGCAGCAGATCCAAATAAGTCCTTTGCCCTGAAATTAACTTCATTCTTAGATTAACAAGAATAACGTGTATCCATAGTGGGAGGAAACGTTAGAAGGTACGTATAGAGGTAAGTATCTATTAGAAATACATTTCAGGTAAGGAAATGTTAACTTCCGAAATGATATCCTTACCTCTTTGCTAGAATACTACACTGATGTGATGGAGGG